CGGTGTGCGCACGATGTGTGCACGGTGTGTGAACGGTGTGTGCACGATGGGCGAACGATAAAAAGCTGGACGATCATTGCTTGCGCACATCTGTGCGCACGATGGACGGACGCTGTGCGATAACAATCGTGGTTGGTGTAAATTGAGGAATGCCTTAACAATTTATACGGTTTTGTGTTTAAACATATAAACTTGATGTTTACGTATGTTTCTATATTCTAGCAACATCTATAAACTTATATAATTATCTTTCTGTCTATACATTCTTATATTTAGAAATTGTGTTTTCTGTGTTTTTAAACAAACTTAATCGTCACATGTAAAATTACAACACAATCCCGTATACAGGTAAACATAACCACTTTGTACATGTACCTGGACCGTAGTTTTCTCCCCGCCTGGGGCACTTACGTAACTCGTCGGGTAAGGCCGGGGGTGTGAAAATCCAGGTGAAGGGGAGCTATAGGCAAACGAATGCAAATAACAAATACTATTCATTACGGTCAAACGGTATCGCATATCAGCTCTGTGTGTCAGGCACTGGTCAGGTAAAACTCCGGACACTCATAAAATTGTTATTTACCTGTTCTGTTACCTTGGAGCCAAACCCATTCTTGACAGCCTAACGGTCGCTGTAATACTGTGTAACACGCATTGTGAAATTGTATAATCTTGATTATTGTGATGAGAAATTACAGATATATACACAGTGTACATTATCGCATACAAGCCTTCCGTATTTTTGTCATTCCGTAATTTTGATCTACAAATGATACCAAATCGCACAGTTGTGCGGAGAGAAGCGCACAACGGGGCGAACGATTGCTAAATCGCACAGTTGTGCGCACCATGTGTGGACGATGTGCGGACGGTGTGTGAACGATGTATGCACGGTGTGCGCACGCTATTTTTGGTGCGTTGTGCGGTCCCACAACTGTACGATTATGCATATGTAGAACCTCAATTAAAATGCCAATGTTAGGCTAACAAGACCTCGACCAACCGCCTCGATCTATTATTCATATCTAGCTAGTATGAGAGTAATTCTGAGAATCATTTATGCTTTGGTCGGGAAACAGGAAAACGAGCACAAGATGTTAGATATGTAAACTACTATACAACGTCGGTAATCGATACGCATTCCTTATACACACACGTGTATACGTCATATAAATTATAATCGATGTACGTGTTTTATACACACACGTGTATACGTCATATAAATTAAAATCGATGTACGTGTTTTATAAACACACGTGTATGCTATGCACCTTATGAGTGTGACTTGTTGAATTACAAAAATAATGTAGATGAATATTAGTATGATTATTTATCTATCTGAATTATATAGATTGTGTATTTAATAATTGAAATGCACCGTTTTATCCTTTTTAACCGTATACAATGTAGTTCCATTCAAACATATCACCTGATGCTCCTTAGGGCACATTAGGTTTATGGTCGGAACTGTGTTGCATAACATCACAAACGACGAAAAATACATTTCAAATTCTATATTTACAATACGTATATGGACGTCATATGCAACAATGATTACTATATTGAATCGTACGGGTAGTTTCTTTCGAGTCATGATGCATTGCAAACCAACTGTTTTACAAAATGTAGGAACAATCATTTTATTTGGCAGTGAGATGTGTTTTCTACAGAAACAATACCAGGCCTGTCGGGCGACACACTTCACTCGAAATCAAATTCACAGTTCAAAATATATCAAAACAAGAAACAGCCCTGTCAATTCAAACACCACATTCTGTAGAGACGAAGCCGTCAAGCAAATATTAGAAACACTAAATAATCAGCGTCTTGTGATATTTAAATCAAAACTTACAAAAAATATGTTTCATAAAAAAGACGCATTTTCACTAAAATTACATGACCTGCTTGACTTCGGCACAAGTAATTCTCTCAGTTTTCATTTAGATTTAAATATGTAAATGTGCCTTACTCTTTTATTAATACAGTATGATTTTACCAAATGGCAGTAGGATACTTCTCAAGCAGTACATATCAATGTTGTATCATAAACTGGAAAGTATATAAAAAATGATGTTTATGCCATAGAATATTATACAGTTATTGCCTTTATATTTCTCAGAGATAAATCACGTTTCACGAGATTAATAAATCGCAAAACCAAACCCTGATTAATAGGAAGGGCGCTCAGGATCTTCTTTCTCTACTACAGGGGCATTTAATTGTTGTCATATCTACATAAAAAGAAAAACCCAACACAATTTTCAAATTATCAAATCTACGTAATATTGTTGTCTGATGTCTCAGTCATCTGAACTGATCACTTTTACACTCTAACTAACTATTCATGACTGGGGTACCTGAGCGCAAGAAGAAAAACATAATTGTGGCTTTATTTATAATTATTGCAATCAACGCAGCTTCGATTCAACAGTCTTATTTGCTGATGAGTTACTTGTAAAATCCACACACCTTGGTAACAATGTGTTAGGTTTAAAATACACCTTGGTAACAATGTGTTAGGTTTAACATACACCTTGGTAACAATGTGTTAGGTTTAACATACCCCTTGGTAACAATGTGTTAGGTTGAACATACACATTGGTAACAATGTGTTAGGTTTAAAATACACCTTGGTAACAATGTGTTAGGTTTAACGTACACCTTGGTAACAATGTGTTAGTTTTAACATACACATTGGTAACAATATGTTAGGTTTAACATACACCTTGGTAACAATGTGTTAGGTTTAACATACACTTTGGTAACAATGTGTTAGGTTTAACATCATTGTTCAATCATTCATGGTGATATGCAACACAACTTCGTACAGACATATGTGATACAGCAGAGTAACTTCTTATAATATGTTAAAAAGGACTCTATTACAAACAAAAATGTTACCAGTAAAACTCTTACAGTAAAAACAGAACGCCCCGACGTGTTTCCGAGTGGAAATCAATTACACGTAATACAATTTATTATTGGTTTATAGCAACATTTCCTGCTGATAAATTCATGTTATGTCCAACTGATATAAATGAAAATAATACATGTAGTAATGCTACGTTGCTCAAGTGTTATTTTCATAAACTAAACACTTTGTGAACATCAAGAATTTTTACTATAATTGCTGTTGCTTGAACTTAACCTTCTGTATGATCACTGGAAAAATTAAAAAAAAAAATGGTGCATAAAGTTTATTTATATTCCTCTGATAGCATAATACTAAAGATATTTACCAGCATTTTCACCACATTGTTTTGTTTTCCGAGACATTTGAAGACTGCACGATGTCTTAAAAATGAACATGCCGAAAATCCATAACAAAAGAGGTTTTTCGAGGTTATTTTGAAGGATTTTTGAGGGGGGTAATTATAGACATTTTACCTTCCTTAATGTTGATTACTGGTCCTAATAACCGGATGAAAGATAAGCGATTTCATGACAATTGTTGTGCAGAATTTCATTTATAAAATAGATGTATTTTGTTGCAATATACACAACAACTATAGAAAATAATACCACGTTTCATAGCCTGTGATCTCGTGTATAATGTTTTGTACTTATCATGGTTGAAAACAAATGAAATCTCACTCCGAATGAGCATTATATACACAAATAACTAAAGACTGAATGCTTCTTTAAAATAGACCGCTATGGGTAGGCTTTATCAAGAATCAAGAATTTTTCAGAGAAAATATCTGTAATTTTTAATATCAATGAAAACCTGTCAGAATTGTACCAATGGATGTGGCGTCACGTTAAAGCGTTCCGAAACGTATGAAGAATACAGCAAAGAGGGAAACGGTGCCCCTGAAACCATTAACAACATTACTATCTTACAATGATTAGCTTATCAGAAAGTAATATATGTTATAGTGGTATTTCATATAAACCATATAAAACGTACTTGCAGCTACAAAGCTACGGCCTGTCTCGAGACTGTGTAGTTCACCAACAGATTGACATGTAACTATATTGATATATGTACGTAAACACTATTTTAAATACCAAAAACTGAAACACATACATAACTTTGAAAATATTGATTGTAAATTTTAAATTTCAAACAAAGTAAGCATTTCACCACACCTCATTGCCATTTTATCCATTTAAGACTCGATTATCAGTGGTGTTAAAGGTCAAACTAATACAAAATTCATAACTGACTAAACCGATAACGTTCTCCTAAGGTTTATGAAACTAGAAGTACAGTTCTGGAGAAAGAAATTTGGCTCGAGAACAAAAATTGAGTCTGGGAATAAAGATGGTGCGGCAGCTTTTGGTGTGACGTAACCAACTTATTAAAGTCCTGTCTGATTTGCTATATAAATCTATCTTTCATTTCACTCCTTTTTGTCTAATAATTCAAAATATGAATTCACAAATTCCAAAATGCATCAGAATTTATTTATTATTTATTATGCTATTCTCTGAATTATAACAATAATTTTAGATATCTACGTGCCGACATATCCTCTGACAATTTGTGAAGAAATACCACACGTATTTAATAATGCATATCAAAATCACTGACACGAACGGCGGACGTTACCGTAAAGTAAGTAGATACTACATCAGGTATCCTCTATATTCAATCGGTTATGATTAGGTTGACTGGCACCAGTATTACGTTCGACACTTAAGTAAAATAAGGTACACAAACCGGCGCAAATAACCCCTGGTGTTACTTTGTCAAAATATTGACAAAATATTTTTCCTTTTAGATACTACAAAGAAAATTGTTTAACCTGTCGTACGACGTGTGTGTAAACAAAGATTACCTGTACAATCATGCAGTCATGCAATTGTCTATCGACCGAAAATAATCATAATGTTTACGAAACAATACCATAATAATGGTCCAAATTCTAAGATGTATGGTTTACAATGGGGAAAAACAGAATCAATATGTATGAACAAAATTATTTAAGTTCAATTTTAGGTTATTGTACATGTATGCTATGCCCATCATTAAATCGCTTCTAATGTAAACTTACCTTAGAGAATGTTACTGTCTGCGAGAGGAAATTTCAATGTATCCCTGAGCTCGGTCGATGAGCAGAATGACCAATGAACTAAATGTCAATAGAGGAGTTCAGAATAATAGAGGGGTTCAGAATGTATTATCTCAGCGCGTGCAGTTTCGCGCCATTTCCAATCGATCACGCTGGCAGCAGCAGTTTCGATGCTGCCACAATTAGTTATCCAGCAACAGATTTTCAATCAAGACGTTTTTGTATCACCGATCGGCGGACGAGCCCTCTTTTGTGGCTTCAGAAGAGACAGCTGTATGTGTTAGCATTAAACATTCATCTGTGTTAATTGTAGTCTTATCTGCGCGCGAGCATTCGACAGTGCCGCCACTGTCATGGCGCTTTTAGTAGCACGCGCTAGTTTCGATTTACAGTAAATCCCTCTTTACCCCGTCATATAAAATTAAACATGCCAATTTAAAAGAATTTTGAGACATATATCGTTTAAAACAAGTTTTTTTATAATCGGTAACATGGATCTAAACCTGAAGATCACAAGCATTTTGAACCTTATTATTAGTTCACTTTTTGTTTTTTCAAATTGAGCAAGAAAGATAAAGAGATGTAGGAAAAATTATGTCAGATTCTGAATAAAACTTGGAAAAGCAATGACTATTATGTGAACACATATGAATTCGGGTAACCAAAATAATGAATGTAAAAATTATTATACTTATTCAGATACCGTGGTATTTTCTTTGCTCTTGTTTTACAGTGACTAGAATACATGTATTTGGTTAAAATCTGAATGTTTTGTTCGTTGATACTTATTTAGGATAGTGAATATACCGCATTACGTTACCACAATCTAGCGCTAACCTTTAAACCAGCATGCCACAATAAAAAGGCTCTAGTAAATGTTTTATCTACCGTCCTTTTTTGTCTAATCGTTCTTACTGGAAGAACGCGAGCTTAATGTGCGTGCCCTTCACAGACCCTGCAGAAATTACTTTTACCACCCTCTATTTTCCTATAAAACTTATTCACCTAAGATAACGTGCGCTATATGAATCATTTTATTTATTGTAAACTTGTACTTATTAGGAGTAACAAACTTACTATCTGTGTCCCAAACATGAGCCCCCCTCCCCTCCCCCCCCCCTTTTTAGCAACTGATATGGGTGCCCTCTACTAGTCTGAGCTCGGCTCCCCCGATAAAAACCGCTTAGATATCCTACTTTGTGAATCTTTTTGCTTAACTTGAAGTTACTTATTTATGGTATCTGTTGTTTTATGTGTTATACTGGTTTTTTTTCGGACAACTTTTTGTGGACGAAATTGTTTGTGACGAGTTGTTTCGCTTTAACAGAGGGGCGCATGGGGGAAAGGAAAATGAATCCGCCTGATTTAACATCCATCAATATATTTCACGTTTTCGGCCCCAATTCCAACTCCGCTTTGCGTCTAGTACACAAAATATATAGATGTTTATAACAATGGCTTGCAATTATAACACAGAAAACATTATATTTATGTAGCCCCGACAGGCAAGTAATACCCTGCTCAATCCCAATATTGTATTATTTTCAGAGTAGTATAAAAAGAAGTGTCTAAGGAATCATATGCGCGTACCATACACTGGGACTCCGACAAAAGGAAATAGTGACTATGTTTCAAAGTCATGGATTTGCTTTATCAGAAAGGCAGCTCCGAAGGGTTCTGCATCGTCACCGTACATGTTCCGGAAAAAGAATGTTACTGACATTGTAGCTGTTGCCACCTTTCTTGCAAACCAACTGGACTATTCAGGGCAACTGCAGGGTTATCACCTAATGCGTTTAAGATGTATCTTATCGCGACTATCAGTCAGTAGAGATAAAGTAAGGATTCTGCTTCAGATTTTAGATGACTATTGACTCTTACGATAACTTAAAGCCTTTTGGAATAGCAATAAAAGGTTGTGTAGCCGGATTTTCAAGATATATAGTATGTCTTCAAGCGAACTTTACTTCGAGTGACCCAAAGGTTGTTGGTGATTATTTCTCTATAGCAGTAGAAGACCATGGATGGTGTCCAAAGTTCATCAGAGCCGACAGACGAACAGAAAATAGCATCGTTCGGCAATTATTGTTATTTTTTCGGGGACAGGATATTGATGGGAATTGCTTCATATATGGACGAAGTACAGCAAATCAAAAAATAGAAAATTGGTGGAGTTTTTTTAAGACGACAGTTGACGGAATTCTGGATTGGTTTCTTTCATGAACTCAATGAAACGGTTTCTTTAACGGGGACCAAATAGAAAAAGTGCTTTTTTCAGTTAACATTCATGGATATTATCCAGGTATGTTTGTTGTGTACAGCTATCTGAAATGAAATATGCGATCATAATCAATCATAGACTACAAAGTAATGTTCAGCAAAACAATTCGTCCACACTACTAGATATGGACAAAGGAAATTTCTCCCATTATGAACAGACCACTCAGGTGATTTATATATACATCTTGATCCTAAAATGATTATTTGGTCTGCATTACCGTATTTAAACCAACAAGGTGTGTACAGTTTTATTTAAATATCCTCTTATGACTGAAAAGAAATTCTTTTACAAAATAACATATATTCGAACGTCAAAAAGGCTGGGCCATACTATATGGAGGCAAGATAGTCCTGTGTTACTTTGAACTCTTTTTTTCTTTTGTCTTTTCAAATAATAATAATTTGTCTTCTTTTTTCAGTCTGAATTGGATGATTTCGCATTGCTTTGGAATCTCCATCTGTTAAGAAAGAGTAGAAATGACCAGTTAGCTCAGGGACGACCGATTCTTATGTACACTTCACCTGAACATACGACACACAGGATTACGCTTACCCTGTAGGGAATCCGTATGAGGAAGCAGGTAAAGATGAATTCACGTTTCAAAAAGGGCATTCCGTGTGATCCAGACGTTTACCAATTGTGTTTGGATATCATGCTGGAGAATTGTTGGAATGTGCCAAACAATGCTTCATGTGCCAGAGAATTGTACAAACGACTGCGCCGAGAAGTATTGAAACTTGTATATGAACATATGGATATATATGGAGATGTATGTGCATAGAAGCCAGAGAGACTATTATGATATTGGTAAACAAATGAAAAAGAAGTTGTAACATTCATGTCAAGTTCAATAATCTGCATGTTTATTGATGTGACATGTACATGTATTACACTTTATCGCTGATTCAATTTTGCATAGTTTTCAAAAGATTCTAATGGAATTAGATGTTCAACTACAAACACCTGTTTTGCGTTTACAGGATAACTTTCGTAGGTCTCTATAATTATGTCGAAGGTACTACTTTCTCTCATCTTAATATTTAGCTGACCATTGAAACAAATAAGTGTTGTAGATATTGCTTGTATAGATATGTATCGTCTAATACTTTAACTATGTTTAAACAATCATTTCCATTTGCCCATTTTAACTATTATCTCTTAACCCAATGTACAGTAACGTTGCGCAATAATTTATCAAAATAAAAGAGTCAGTTTCAAAAAGTTAACATCCTCTGGTTATTTTGAGTTATATTAGATTTAAGTGTTAGTTTTAATGTAATTTCATTATGACACTATATAAAGTTGACAATTTGTACTTACGTACGTGATCATTTCTTTACTCATGTTCTCTCATGGCGACCAATAATATGACATATCAACTGTTACCATGGCAAAAGAACTGAAGCTTTTGAAAAAGTTAATCTTTCACATTGTCCGATGAAGGTGAAAATGGACATATGTATATTTTGAGAGTGATGAAACAATGCTAGTGGCCAGTCACACATTCTGAAGCAAAGATGTCTAGAATCAAACCAGAAATCATTCGATCGAAGACCAAGGTCACCGAAGCAAAGTAGAAGCTAGAAGCTCAGCTCACATAGTTGAGATTGTGTTTCTCTTAACTGAGTGTGATCAAACGTGTTTTGTATTGTTAGGTGTAGAGGTATGCATCTTCTTGTGTTTGTATTGATATTTTCCGTGAGAAAATCATCAGCACCAATTCCGACATTATCGTCAGGCAATTAAATGTAAATAAATCATGCAATAAACGCAAAAACACGCTTTCACATATAAACATTTAGTTTTGTTTCAAAATGTAAATTGAAATAATACATTTACCTACCTCACAAAAGTGTCATGACTCTTGCAGTTGGTGGCCGTAAAATACGGTAGACTATCTTTTAAAGATAAATTATCGGAGATTTACAGCAAATGATATAATAAAGGACTCAAGCAAAACTTTTCTTACAAAACAATGGTCAGTTTATTACAAAAATATGTATGCTGTGCGCAATGAATTGGATCAAATGTCACAATCCACTGTTGTTGAAGAAGTAGTTGACAAAGTCAAGTCTTCATATTATGTGGCGATACAGAAATGTATACGGACTCCATTAAACGAGGTCGATAAATGATTTTATGAATCTGTGATTTGACCGAGAAAATTGGAGAGAATAAGCTACAAAAGCTGTGTACAATTACTGGTGTGTTTTAAAGTCCGACATTCATGTTGCATTAGGTTGACAACACCATGTATCGACCGAGCTTAAAAGGTCGTAATAGTTTATAAACATTAATTTTTTAGAAGCTGGTATGGAATTTCACAAAGGTACCACATACAGAAAGGATTTTGTGTCCCCTGTATGACATACATGTACTTACAAATTTTAGAAATTAGTCAACTTGTTGACAATAGATTGACCTTCCGTTTTACAAAATGTTCCTCCAGATCCGATCCATACATCTTGCGTAAAGTAAAGCTTGAACATGGGCGGGATCCAGTAAACTTACAGATTATGACCATTTTGTTACATTCGTTAGTATAACATAAATAATCTCATTACCACGCTCATATTAGTGAAAACGTTATTTTTACAACTTACCGAAAATTACGCCAGTTTCTGTAACATTTATGAACCCAGCCATATCTTCTTATCATAATTTTTCATTGTGGATAATTTGTAGCAGGATGATATTCATATAAACAGAATTGGTGATTTTTATAAAATGGCTAAAAAAAGCTCTACAAAGTATA